GTTTGCTTTGATACCTTGTCAAGACATAAGCGAAACTTTTAAATTGTTTCTTTTTTTCATTTAGGCCTTCGTTTTTCGTTAAATGAAAGTTATATTAAAAAAATCTATTTTTAAACCAAATTTTCGCATGATTGAAATGATTATTCATGCTTAAAGTTTTTTTTTTTGGTCATAAGCGCTAATGGAAATGTTTTTTTGTAAATAATTATAAAAAATTACTCCCTACGAAGACTTTATTGTGTCCTGGATCAAAAAATAAGTATTTGTTTTCTCTATACGGTGGTATTAATATATCGATTTTTGATGATAGTGCCCTTTTACCCGGTCTAATTTTGCACTACTTTCGGAATAAGGGTCCCCATATCATGTACTGTACTTCCATCCCTGAAAAAATCAGCTTGTGACACCGAAGTGAGAGGTAATGTCAAAATAAGCTTTAATCTACCTACATCATAGGTAGGTGTAGGTACTCTAGGTATATTTTACCTAGACAGTAGCTGAACTAGCTGACAGTAGTAATTAATTTGTTATCCGATATGTAGTTGTCATTATATAAGTTTAATCATCTTATACCTCCTATAACGGTAGATTTTGGATTTTTCCTGATTGGTTTGTTAAACAAAAATATACTGGGCATATAAATGTCTGTTACAGGTTAATTCGTTAAAGAAATATCTTACACACATATTATTTTAATAATAATAGTATAATAGTAATGGCTATATTATGTTATAACACATACATATGTATTGAATGTACTTATTCAAAACATATGTATGTGCATTGTTTTGTTTTTTTAATCACACAAATAAGAAATATTTTATAGTTTTTATTATGAAAAACAGTGATTATACAATTTATTTACACCCCTTACACTGTTTTCTGTAAGGGGTGTAACCAGGAGTATATTTCGTAACCTCTTACGATATAAGAGGGCCACAAAGTGTTTTATTACTTAATGCTTAAAATTTAATAATATATTTGTACACAAAATAAAATAGACTAGAAAGTCAATTAATTAATATTGACGTAATTACTAAATAAGTACAAGATTTTTTTTCTAATTATTTTAGTGTATTTTTAGTCACCTAATTATAAAGGAGAGATATCCAACCATTGCATTATTTTACTCACAAATAAATGTTTTATGGTTCTTATTATAAAACAACGTTTAATTTATTATACACCCCTTAACCCAAACACTCCAAGGAGGATATTTCGTGACCCCTTATTTAAAGTGGACAAGCTTTATTAGTCAATGTTTTAATTACTCAGCGTCTTTAATAAAAATCTAATGTAATTTTCATAGAAATGATCTGACATAAAAAGCAAATTTTATCAAAAAACTTTTTGATTATCTACAAGGAGTAAACCGCTGACAAATGTCTGTATACTAATGCCAAAGTAATGCCAAAAATACAAATTAAATACCAAAATTTCTCATATAATGCCCCACTAATGCCAAGCTGATTCCAATATAATACCACTAATACCACGAATAATATGTAACACATTTGTTTCACGAATTAACCTGTAACAATACTGGTAGGTACGTGCACAGATTTTTTCCTAGGTAACTTAAAAGTCGTTAAAAAGTCTAATTATATTTAAAGAAGATATAATTCCAACAAATTACATTATAAGGCCAATAATGCACAAGTAATACCATTAAAATTTTAGCGTTTTTAACTTGTGTAACATATTTCTTTAACGAATTAACCTGTAACAATAGTGGTAGGTACGCGCACAGATTTTTTCGCTAGGTAACTTATTAAGTCGTTAAACAGGCCTATAAAAGCTATAACAACATAGGTAACTAATATTTATAATTTAATTCGAGTTTTAATCTCAAATAATAAATGTTTTTACTGGTGTATTTCTGAAGTGTTCATTATTAAAAGTAGATATTCTTCAAGTTATGCGAAGTAATAAGTAATGTTTCCGGTGAGACCGCGTATATGTCACCGGATTCTGGTTAGTATAAAGACTTTTTCTATAGAAAGAGTTTTTTCTATATTTTCCTTTCAAAATAAGACTAATTTCTTCTTATTCTTTTAAATATTACAGTGTTTCTTTTTCCTAAAATGTTATACTTAATTTTCGCTTAAAATTAAAAAATCACAAATGGAGGAAAATATACGTTATTGAATAAAGTTTATACAAATCACTTTACCATAACAAAAAAGTAAAAACATGTCATGGCGGAAGATATTCAGGTGGCATTTCACACATTTATCTATTAAAATCGAGATTAAAATAATAAACTTGCGTAACATGTTATACACGAGATAGAAAGTTTCAGAATCGATTAATACGCAATACGCTACGCAGTCAACTTATTCCTATGCGCGGATGAGCGTCTTCAAGACTCTTCCTTCGGCCAGGGTCACGACGCCGCCGAAGAGGAATCGGCCTACGTTTGGCTAAACAGGCTGGACACGGTGGAGTACGATATTGGCGAGTCTGAATATTTATAAAAATTTGCAAAGTAAAATATGTTGGAAAAATAATTAGTCCATACATATATAAAAGCTCAAAGGGTTTTTTTGTTGCATCCATCCCGCCGAAAGCGCTTTACCAATCTTGATGATTCTTTTTTTAAATGAAAGGTATATATGTGTAGATTTGTTATGAAGTATTTTTATAGTGCTTAATGGCTATTTCTTTGTGTAAAACGACTAAATACTAAAACATACCTGAAAACACCTACACACAATACCTCCAGAAATAAATTAGTTGTCATTGTCAGTGGTGTGTCAGTTAGATTATATATTACGTTTTTAGATATTTTAGAGTGAGTTGATGCCGCCAGCTTTAGATACATAAATATTAGCACAAAGGTTCGTTTAAACGACATTAGTGAATTAGCTACACAAAGCGATTTTAGGAAATTCATCCTCTTAGAGAGTAAAATTATCTCGGAACAGTTTGTTGTATGAAAATTCCTTACTATTTCGTCTAGAAGAATGAAATCCTACAAAAAGAATTAGAAGAAATTTTTGAAATTCATCAACCAAATGGGTAAAGTTAGTAAAAATTTATATAAAACTTGGTGACGTCTGGATTATACACATAAAAATTGGCACAAAGGTAAAGCGAATTTATGAAATTTATACCCTTAGGGAGTAAAATAGGGAATGAAAGTTTGCTGTACGAAAATGCAATACTATAACATTATAAACCAGACAGTATAAAATTTTATACAAGGGTTTATTTAGTGACATCATAACGAAATATATCTTCCTCAATTATCCTTCAAAGAATAAAAAATAACCTATAAAGAGAGTATTAGTGCTCTTAATAAATAAAAAAAAGATGAAAAATAAAAAACATCTATATGCTCACTAGCTCTCTATAAAGAAGTAAAAAATCATTTAAATCAATGCACGAACGATTCGAGGTGTACGCAAACGTAGTCGCGAGAAAAAGCTAGTAATTTATTAAATTATTTTATTTAACTCATTAATTCATTTAAAAGGAATTTTTGTAATTCGCCACTATATTAGTTAAAAACTAAGAAACTCATATCAAATTTAAGTTTTGCGATTTTATACTTTTTACAAAATCTGAACACATTTTAAAAGAAAAAAAGTTTTTGATAATATTTGTGTAGATTGACTACAAGTTACATAACATAAATTTCTACGACCGGTCTACCTAGTGGTCTGCAGCATCGCCTTGTGGTGCAAACGTGGGCCTGTTAATCTGTGACGTGACGCACAACAGCCAAGAAAAACAGAAGCGTTGCTAAGAATTTAGTAATTAAAAAAAAGTCTTTTAGATACAGTAGTAGGTATTAAAAAGTTTTGTGTTTAAATGGGGTTTGCCTTTAACAGTTAAAAAATTATATCGTAAAGTGTAACTTTCCGTAAGAATTCTTTTTTTTGCTTGCTTGTTTTACGGATAGGTGCGATCGCATAATTATTATTAATAATGTTTTATTTAATTTTAACATTACTACTTTTTCAGTGAATCTTTAAATCTGTTATTTTTTGTTAAGTTCGTTATTTAAACATATGTATGTAATACACTCATATTAACACTAATCATATTTTTACGTTTTTATTCATCATTTTTAATGCCCCCCCGGTTGCATCTTTGTGAAGGACTGTGAATTTTTTAATTGTAGAAACTAAAAATGTAATAATATACAGGGTGTTCCTTTTAAAAAAATACAACTTTGATATTTTTCATTTATTTGGGACACTCCGTATCTTGTACAAATATTTTTAAATTGTAGCTCTAATAGTCCTTTAACGAACCCAAAACTTACAATTTGTAAAAATCTAATCGTTTAGCTACAATACTGTGTCGTATGTGGTGAACTTCTTAAGGTGCCGTGCAGATTCCTGCGTAGGCGTTAATCTTTTTCTTCCTCATCAGATGGTTCTGTTAACTGCCGCGACTTGGAGTGCTTGGAAGTCCTGTATGCCTGTCCAATGACGAATATTTCTCAGCCAGGATAGCTTCCTTCGTCCTATCCCCATTTTGCCCCCCTCTATTTTACCCTGGAGAATCAGACGCTGAAAGTGATATCGTTCTCCACGTATGTGTCCCAAATAGGCTATTTTCCTCTTCTTGATAATTTCGAAGAGTTCACGTTGTTCCAGACCAGCTCTTCTGAGAATGTCTTCATTCCTAATACGGTCGACCCAGGGCATTCTTAGCATTCGTCGTAGAGTCCACATTTCGAAGGCTTCAATTCGGTTTATTGTTGCTACCTTCAGTGTCCATGCTTCCACACCATATAACAAAACGGACCAGACATAGCACTTCACCATTCTGTATCTAAGGCCGAAGTTCAAATCCCTATCTGTGAGGAATCTTCGCAGTCTCAGAAAAGTAGATCTTGCTTGTTTGATCCTGCTTTTGATCTGCTGATCCGGATCCCACGTTTCGTTAACCCTTCGTTAGGCGCGCGGCTTACAATAGCGTCATTAAGCGCGTGGAGGACAATAGTCATCCATCTAATTTAACATTAATTAAGAAAAAAATGACACTTTATTTTTAATATTACGGTATATTGTTATATAAAAAAACGTTATGCATCAAAAGAGGCAAAGTAAAAACAAAACAGAATTTGGATTACTTGTAAAAGACTACACTATGCATTTTCATAACAGTCCACACAAACATCTTTTAGATGATCACCACATGCCCATTTGCCACACTTTACACACCATCTTCTGGTAGTTTTGTTCCTCGATCTACCACAAACAAAGCACCTTCCTCGAGATCCTGTTTTGTCTTCCTGGGGAGTCGGCTCGTCCTGAACACCAACTAAAATCTTGGACCTTCGTCGTATTTCCACTGGCAGAGATTGAATTTCTGATCTTCTGTGTATTTGGGGTTTTATCAACTCCCAACTTACTGTTTCCAGAAAATTGGCTCTCTTCACACATTTATTTAGGCCGTGGGAATGATACTTGTGAATGCAATAAGCATTGATAGCAGAAATATTCAGAAAATCATAAAAAAGTACCATGGGCCATCTTCTTGAATTCCGGGATACATCATAGTTTTGGCATAGTTGATCGAGCAAATCCACTCCAATTTTTGTCATGTTATAAAACGTAATGATGTCAGGTTTTTTTTCTATGCCAGTTGAGTCATCTATGGCATTGTCAAAATGCATCGTCGATAAAACTAAAACAGACTTATTTTTCTTCGGACAATAGGACACAAGAGTAGCATCATCCTGGAACCCAAACAGCGATGATTTTATTTCCCGTGTTTTGCTTGGTAGAAACTCCTTTGGAAGCTCCCTCTTATTAGCTCTGATGGTTCCGACATAGGTGAGTTTTTTAGTTTTGAGACTTTTAGCAAGAGATAGGCTCGTGAACCAATTATCGGCAGTTATATTTCTATTTGTGCCCTCAACTGGTGCTACCAAACGCAAAACAATATCTTCGCCAGAATTACTTTGCTCGTAAGGGCCTGGAGGTTGTTTTCCCACATATGGTTCCAAACTAACTGTGTAAGCAGTCTTTGAATCACACATAGCAAACACTTTGAGTCCATACTTAGCAGGTTTGCTGGGTATGTACTGCCTGAACGAGCAATTTCCCCTAAATGCTAAGAGCTGTTCGTCCACAGTAAGATATTCTCCAGGCGTGAAAAGACTCTGAAATTTATTGTTGAATAGTTCGAGTACTTCTCTAATAGCAGCAAGTTTGTCTAACTCTCTCCTGGCCGGTCTGTCTTGAATATTGTCAAAACGGAGGCATCTTATCAAGAATCTGAATCTTTTCTCACTCATAGTAAGATAGCACGCTTCGAGCCCATTACCTCTTGAATTATCCCATAATTTTGATAAATTCTTTCTTGATGATCGAAGCGTCCCAATCAGATAAAGGAGTCCGATGAAAGATCTAATTTCTATTGAATCCGTGTACCTTGCATCTCTCTCTCGAGCAAACTTCGAGCGAATTTTGTCGATGTAAATATTTGTAGATGTTACGATAATATTTATAATGCTGTCATCTAGAAAGAGGTTATATATATCTATCTCTGATTTCTTTTCACGGGCGGCACCTTTAGGACCTGGCAGATGAATGATTATATTACAAGACTTAGTTCTTACATTGGTGGGTGGTGGCATTTTTCTCCACTTAGTAATTCCATCCTTTGCTACGAAGTAGATATTTTCACCTGAGTTCTGTATACCAGCATCTTCGGTCATGTTGTCATCCTTAGTCAAATTCCCATCATTTGCCATGTCCTCATCTTGTGCCAATATGTCGACATCTTGTTCTGAATCAGAGTTGTGATCGCTTCTTATGACAAAGTCTTCCTCTTCAGAATCTGTCTCTTCCCTAGGAGGTTCTTCATCAGATGACTCTTCGTACCATTCTAGCCATTTCGCAGGATCACGACTGTGCTCAGTTTTTCGCTTTTTCGAATCAGACATAATGCAATTTAATCTGAAAATATATGATTTTTGATAAGATTCTAAAATAAAATAACAGATTAACAACCTTATTATCAAAATGGTGCGGAGAAATACGATAAAAAAAGAAAATTATCTGAATAAACTAATATTCCTTGGATAGGCGCGCGGGTGACAACTGTCATCCACTGAACATAAACTGGAAAATGAATAACACTTCACGCTATAAACGCTGCCACCGTACTGTAGATTACTTTTTCAGATACTTACGGAGAGGTACTAAGGAGGGCGTCTTGATTAAGCGCGCGTGTTGTTCTGCGCAACTCTAAGTAAACGCGTGGATGACGAGTGTCATCCGCGCGCCTAACGAAGGGTTAACCATGCATCCCAAATATTTAAATTGTGTGACCTGCTTGATGACCTCTCCATTTAAGTAAATTCTGGTGTTCGGAATATTGTTTCTGCTAACAGCCATAAATTTAGTTTTTGTAGTATTTATGTTTAAACCCAGTCTTTGACTTTCACTGTTAACTTTATTTAGAAGAATTTGGAGATCATTTGCATTGTCTGCCAATATCACTGTGTCATCCGCATATCGGATATTATTAATTGGAATACCATTTATTTTCAAACCAATGGGACTATCGGAGATTGACTCAGTGAATGCTCTTTCCACATATAAATTGAACAACATTGGAGATAGAATACACCCTTGCCTTGGTGCCATGTGGTGAACAACCCTGTATAATTTTAATATAAATGTAAGATATTTTAAATATAAAACTTTATTTGAATTGTCTGACTTATCTATGGTTAGTTCCATCTTTAATTTATATTGGTGATATTCACTACTCTTTATTGGGGTTTTTATCATTTTTGTTTTGTTTATATTTTATTTTTATTTGTTTTTTTTGTAAATATTGGCTGGTCCGTTAATAAGCATTTACTTATTTAATAATATTAGTTCTATTATTTGGAAATTTTATCACTAGAAACTAATAAGTAAAAGTTTATATAATTTTCAACAAATTTTTATACTTATAGGTGGGGAAAAAAGCAGTTTCTAATATGAACAGAAAATATCTTAGAACTAAGATAAAAAAACAGATTTTGGGATCTGTTGAAACACCTGGCGTTACGAGCGAAAGAGATAGAACTGTATCTCAAGATATTTTATCTAATACAGTAGTTATGTCAGCTATTAATGACCAATTAGGGGTACCACTTAGTCAGAATCCAGTTCCAGTGTACCTAAATCCATCAACAGCAGATGATACTACGTCAAATTATTTACATATTTCTGAAAATTTAGAAAAAAACTATCCTCCTCAATCAATTCAATTTTGAATACTAATACCCTTATTTCTAATTTAAATTCCTGGGCGATTTCTCACCATATTTCACATTTGGCTTATAGCGATTTATTGAAGATTTTAAAACATCCTTGGAGCACTTCAGATTTTACGAAATTACCATCAGATTGTCGCTCACTTTTGAAAACTTCTAGGACAGGAAATATAATGTCATGTGACAATGGATCTTATTATCATTTTGGTATTCTAAATGGCATTATATATGTGTTAAAATTGCACGGTGAGATTCTCTTGGATAATATATATCTAGATTTAAATTTTGATGGACTGCCACTGACTAAGAGTTCTGGAAGCCAATTTTGGCCTATTTTAGGTTTTATTAATAACCTACCATGCAGTGACCCATTTATAATAGGAATTTTCCATGGGAATATAAAGCCTAATAATCCGAATAATTTTTTAAGACAGCTAATAGAAGAATTTCTTCAAATTAGAGAATCTGGCGTTACATTTAATTCCAAAACTTACAATGTTTATATATCAAAAATCATTTGTGATGCACCAGCTAAGGAATTCATTCTGTGTGTTAAGGGCCATAATTCATATAATGGATGTACAAAATGTGTTGTTGAAGGAGAGTATATGAACCACCGAATGTGTTACAACAATATTAATTGTCCTCTTCGACAAGATAATTTATTTAAGAATCAGTTTTATGAAGAGTTTTAAGTTTTTCAACTCGCACCAAGTCCACTATTGACTATTGATATAGGATTGAGTCAGTTTCCTTTGGACCCAATGCATCTTTTATATCTAGGTGTCATGAAAAGACTTTTAAACTTTTTTGTCAAAGGTAATAAAGAAGTAAGGATGAGGGATATGGATATAGAGAATATTAATATTCATTTAACCAGGATGCGAAAATATATTGATAGAAGAGATTGTGCTAGGCTTCTAAGAAAAAATGCTTTGCATCAAATTGATATGTGGAAAGCCACAGAATTTAGGCAATTTCTGTTATATACAGGGCCAATTGTTTTAAAAAATAGACTACCTCAAAATCAGTACAACCATTTTCTATCTTTTCATTGTGCAATTAGAATTTTATCAACGCCTTTGCACATGAAATATATCAATTTTGCCAATTGACGTATTTTGTGAGAAATTATGCTAAGATATATATGTGGAAGACAATTTATTTCGCATAATGTCCACAATTTGGTGCACTTGTGTGATGATGTGAAAAAATTTGGTCCGCTTGAGAAGTTTTCTGCATTTAAATTTGAAAATAAAATGCTTTATATTAAGAGAAATATGAAAAGTTCCAGCAGGCCATTGGAGCAGATAATAAATCGGGAAAGTGAACGTCGTGAATTCTATTCGCCAGCGTTATATAATCAGAAAAAAAATAATACACATTTAATAATGAGCATTGGCTTTGCCAATGAACCTTTATTAAACAATACATTGTGTGAGAAATTTGTAAAAATAAATATAGAAAGGAGATTTATAGTGTCTACTATAAATATACATAGTAGTCATTTTATAAATAAAAATAAGGAAATATGTAAAATAGAAAAAATATTAAGATGCATAGAGAATGATGAGATATATATTGTTTTCAAAAAATATAAAAAATGTAAAAATATGTATTCGTCGCCATGCAAATCAACTTTGCTGAACTGTGGTATAGTCGGTGATCATTGCAATTTCTTTTAGTTACTGACGTTTTTGCTAAAGTCATAAAGTATGAAAATTGTATAATGTCAGTAATTCATACACAGTCTAAATAAAGTGTTAAAAAATAAAAAATTTTGAGATACATATATTTTTCAAAATTGTTAATACAAATCGACTTAGCTATAAATAATGAATATATTTATATATTAATAGTATAGTTATATTATATTAAAATAATTAATACATTTTTGGTTATTTTTGTCTTTTATTATTTTTCAATTTTACTATCACAACCCCAGAAAAAGTTTACATATTTTCAAACTGATTAACAATTTGCAGTTTGCCTCTTGAAGTTCTCTGATCTACATATGTATTATGAAATTTAATTCACTATTATATATATATATATATATATATATATATATATATATATATATATATATATATATATATATATATATATATATATATATATATATATATATATATATATATATATATATATATATATATATACTATACTTACTCTTATTTTTTTATCAAATAAGGAGTTCAAAAATCCATTGATGTAAAACTTAAAAACTTTGTTCATTTCTTGGTTTGTAATTTCTAAGCCAAACCAAACCAAACCACACCTAACTGATAATCAAATATTAGAGGATCCTAACTAACATTCATTAAGAACATTCATGCCAAGTTTCTAATTAAACATATATAAATACATATACATATATATATATATATATATATATATATATATATATATATATACTGTTCAATTCGTGAGGTTTGGAACTTTCGTCACAGATTGTCATTCTCTCTCTTATCCATGTTTATCATCACATGAAATGGAAATTTTGTGTCAAAAACGTAAGTCCATTATATTGATTACATCGTACGATTATTTTATTCTTTTTATATACTGATCACATGCTGATCACTATTATTACGGATAAAATATTTACGTCCTTGTCCGATAAGCACGAATAGAAAAGGACAAACATCGTGTTTGTATTACCCGCCGAAATTGAACAATACGGAACGCCGACTGTCAAAGTTGTTAAATTTTAACGGCTCCGATAGTTTCCCGTAAATTTTTCAAAGAGGATTTTTATCACTTTTTGATATTTTTGTGGGAGATTTTCTGTGTTTACTGAGTTATTTGTGATTTAATTTGTGTTTAAAATGCCGTCCCGTTTTAGTGAAAACGAACAACGGCTCATATTAAAAGTTATCCAGTATTTCAAACTCGAAAAAATGCTCGAAAACCTCTTTTGACTGTGTCGGCTGTTTACGATGTAATTGGACAACTATCAAGTTAATATTTTTTAACTAAATCGAAAATATTCACGTGTTTTATAGAGAGCATCGGAGGCTTTAGGAATTTCACGCACGACTGTGCAAAGAATCAGTTCTAGAGGAATCGTGAAAGATGAAGAACAAAAAGCAGCAACAAGTCACAGAATTGCTTTGTCCCGTGGAATTCCTGCTTATAAGATACATGAACATACAATTAGAACACGTATTTATTCAATGTATGCTGCAGGTAGGCTACAATAAATTTATTATTGTTTAATATTATATGTATCTAATTTTTCACTGTATGGGATTATATAGGGGAACATATTACATTACAAACTTTGCAAGCAAACCTTCAAAACATTGATGATGTTCAGTTGTCTCTGACTATGTTGGGGAAAGGACTTAAATATTTGCAGTTTAGATGGCAAAGTTGCAAGCATTCTAACAGGAAGTATTTAATGGAGCAGCCATATATTGCACAGAAGAGACTGCAATTTTTACGACAATATAAAGAAAATCAAATCTCTGATTGTTCTTTCAGACCAGTATTTCTTGATGAAACCTGGATTTACAGTAAGGGTGGATTTAGAAAGAGCTGGCAAGATGGCAGTCTACAAACAGTTCGTAAAACATCTGGAGAAGGAGTAAGGTACATGTTTTTTACATATTCATTGGTTCACTTATAGGTCAGTTAGAAGGGAACAAATAGAGATACAAACAATAATATATGATAACTGTTAAGTTGTTTCTAGTAAGTAACATATGAGCCATGCACTGCACAACTCAGTTAACTCCACTTTTAAAAATTTTTAAATTTAAGTGTAAAACCAATTGTAATATTCAAACAGTTTTCCAAAAAATAGACAAATAGACAAATAATAACCTCTGATGTTTGGAAAATGTTAAGTTATTAATATACCAACTGGATTTACACTTAAATTTAAAAATTTTCAAAATGTATTGTTCATCACTTAGACAAGGAAAGGGGGGGACGGGCATTACCAGTAGAAATTTTGTGATGGAAAATCGCTAGGCTCCATGCCAAGGCCGTTTGTGAAAAGTGATTCCTAGTTCTTTCTCTCATTACAGATCTTAGAATTGTAAGCACAACAAAACACCATACTTAAATAATAATTATTTCAAGTCTTTAAAAAGCTTTTTACAGCACAAAATACAAAAAAACACACAATTTTTAGGAGCCAATCACAAAATTTGATATTGGCCGTAGATGTCGATTACGCGTCCCCTCTCTTTGCTTGTCTAAGGTGCATGAGCAGTAAACAGCTGATATAACGATAATGTTTCTAACCTAAAGAGTGAATGCAAAGAAAAACATAAAACGTTACATCTGCATAGCAACAAGTGTGCACCAATAAATGCATGGGATTATATCGATTACATTGTAGTTTAACTGTAAAGAAATGTACCTTGTACTTCATTTTTGGGTATGTATGATAGTGATTTTTTAAGGTATATTGTATTGCATGCTGGGTCAGAAGATGGATTTGTGGAGAATGCTAGCTTAGTTTTCAAATCAGGCACTAAATCGGGTGACTACCATGATTCAATGAACTCGGCAAATTTTGAAAAGTGGTTTGAAGAACAATTAATTCCAAATTTAGGTGATAATTCACAATAAGCTCTTAGGAATTATATTATGATTTTTTTTAAAATTATATTATGTTTAATGGGAAAATCTAATATTGTCTAATCTAAAATTTAGATGAACCATCTCTGATTATAATGGATAATGCTCCATACCACAGTACCCTTTTCGAGAGAACTCCAAATCAGAGTTGGAGTAAGGAATCCCTGATTAATTTCTTGCAAGAAAAGGGAATCCAATCACCACCTCTGGCAATGAAAGATCAGGTTTGGAATATTGTCAAGCAGAATGTTGCACCTAAGAAATACAAGTAAGTCAACAAACAGTCTTATTACTTTGACATGAATGCAATTGTATATGCGATATGTTGATTTAACATTATAACTTTATTCCATTGCATTTATTTGGTTTGGTTTGGTTTGGTGTGTTGAGACTTCCTCCATATCATTGTCAGTACAATCCCATCGAAATGGTATGGTCAGAATGCAAGCGCTACTATGATGCCAAGATTAGTGCCATTCATCCTGTTACAAGTGATGCAGTATTAGGTCTTTGGAAAGAAGCACTTGAGAAGGTAGATTACATGTGGTTTAGAGTATTTTATATTAAAAGTTTTATTTTAGGTTACACCAGAGAAATGGAAGAATTATATCAGACATACCAATAGCATAATCGATAAAGCCTGGGCCCAAGAACAACTGATTGATGCCTCCGATATTCTACCTGTAATTATCGACACGAATGATTCCGATTCAGATGAGGACAATTATTTAACTGAGGGAGAGGAAAGTGTGTAGTGTTTAGTGTCTAGTATTATTTTTCATACATATTGTTTTATGTTGTACAGTGTGAGTCAGTGACAGACTAAAGAGTAAATTTAATTAGTAAATTAATTTTAAATATAGAGGGGACTCCAAAAAGTGAGGCAGATATATATTATAAATAATGTTAAATACCTAGAACTAATAGTTTTCTTAATATTTATTTAAAAGAATGTGTTATGCCAGCACCGACATGGTAGTGGCATTGTGTAAAAACTTTTCTATGCTAATCACTGGTATGAAAGTATTTACATATTGCCACTACCAGTTAAATTGGCGATAGCTACAGTATATAATAAATCAACAATCAATCTTTATATACAAAGGTTATAGAATTCTTGGCAGAATCTAAATATAAAATAAAAAATTATTGTATTGGGTGTTACATTAAAAAATATTATATCTGCCACACTTTTTGAGTCCCTCTTATTTAAAATTAATTTTAAATTGTGTACCTGATAGCACAGGATCAGGTTGCAGGATTATTAAGCTCATAATGTAATTAAAATATAATTTTTATATATATTTGTGAATAGGGTAATACACTTTTAACGGGATGCCAATCAAAAAGTGGCCACAAATAGGGGTTGCCACAGTTGGAAGTCGTTCCTACTACTTTATCCGGATCCGGCAACAGTGAGTCAGGCATCTGTTGCTCCTATAATAAAAAAATATAATATATATATATATATATATATATATATATATATATATATATATATATATATATATATATATATATATATATATATATATATATATATATATATATATATATATATATATATATATATATATATATATATATATATATATATATATATATATATATATATAACAGAACCCCCAGATATTCTTACTAGGGCGTATAATATTGACAATGATTATTATGTTAGGGATTCTTTTTCGTTCAGTAATTTTATTAACAACTTTCAGATTCCACCGGATTATGTAATAGTTAGCTTTGACGTCGTTTCTCTGTTTACTAACCTCTCGATGGAGGTGGTTCTGAAAAGTTTACGTAATAATTGGAATAGTATTTCCCCGTGTTGTCATTTGATTTCGAAACACTCGAGCAGGTAATAGAGTTTATTTTTGAATCTAATTTTACTATTTTCAATGGTACGTACTATAAACAGATTTCTGGCACCCCTATGGGCTCTAAAATTTTACCCATTTTCGTAAATTTTGTGTTGGACGATCTGGTTAAGGATTGTCTGTCTACATTACATGCCATATCATATTCCCTTTGTTAAGCGCTACGTAGATGATTTGTTACTGGCTGTTCCTAAAGATCAGATAGGCATTTAGCATTTTTTTTAGACTTTAGAATTTTTAATACCTACGACAGACATATTCAATTCACTGTGGAAGAAGAAACGAACAGAGCTGTTCCGTTTCTTGATATGTTGGTTATGAGAACAGAAAATAACATCCTTAAAACAAAATGGTATAGAAATCCATATTGTTCAAATCTTTTCATTAGCTACCATTCATATCAAACAATGAAATCAAAAATAAATTTAATTTTGGGAATAAAGTCTAGAGCAGTCAAACTAAGCCACTCTGATTATGTGGAGGAATCTTTGGCTCTTTTAAAGAATATTTTGATTGACAATTCTTATCCAGAAAAAATTATAAACAGGTTTTTGTTTCATACAGCTATAGTGAACAATAATAACCAGGGACCTACAGCACAACAACTACCTAATATCACTAATATTCCTCTTGAGCCTAACCGAGTGACAGAGGATCAAAATGGACAACTTGTCAGTTATTTCTCTCTACCTTATATAGATAATCTTACATACAAACTTACAAACGTTTTCAGACAATATGATAATATTAAAATTGCAAACAAACAAGTCAAAGCTCTGTCTAAACTCTATTCGAGAACTAAGACACCACTTCAGATAATGGAGAATTGGAATGTTGTGTACAGGTTGCAATGTAAAGATTGCGATTTGTCTTATATAGGCCAAATTTTTAGAAACTTAAAAGGTTGCATCACATCTCACAAAAGTGACTGTAGAAGGGGCGTTTTGTCATGTGCATTGTCAGAACATGTCAACAATTTAGACCACAGGATAGACTGGGATGGTGCTGAGATTCTGGATAGAGCTGACTCATTTTGTAAAAGAACCTTTCTTGAAATGGTTCACATAAATTCACAAACTAACACCATGAATAAAAGAAGTGACACCTAGAGTCTTAGTGTCATTTACGGTTACATTTTAGACTTGTACAGTGGCAACTATGGTTCATTGCGACAGGTAGCTCAAGGTTCTCAATAGTGATATTTTCATACTGTAATGTTGGTGGGGTTTGATTGTGGAATTTTTGAAAAGATTTTTATCGTTTTTTTGTTATTTTCGCCTTTTTTGTATTTCACCATCGCTTAATCTCATTTGAATTTTAAGATGTTATTTTATACTAAATTTTGTACTACATTTTTTTCTTTTTGAGATCTTGTTTTTCTTTACAATTCTAAAGTAATTTCTAGTCTGGTTCTATGTGTAAAGAAAAACTTTTTCTTTTTTCTTAAATTAATTTATCACATTGTCTAATGCCTGTTTTCTCAGTGTAGCATTGATGGTTTATTGCGCATGGTCGATCTCGCTGACGAAACGAACTAATGTGTCAGAATATTTCTAAGTAGTTACATCTCCCTCACTCTTGTTATTATATGCATAAGTTTATCCTTTTTTACTTGTCAAGAGTAACATAAAATATATATAATAAAATATTAGCCCCATACTTACTCAATATAAAAAAAAGCTCATCGACATGATCAAAAAGTTTTATGATCAAGCGGGTTTTGTATCATAAATAAAAACAGATAAACAATTTTTATGTAAAACGACCTTTAAAATTAACATTATAAACATTATAAAACTGTTAGGTGGCATCGTATTTATGATTCTAATTGTGCTACCCTTTGAGGGGTGTGAAATAAATTACTTATTTATAATAATACTGAATTTATGCGGGGTGGTATAACTAGTGTTATAACGGTTGTAGCCAACGGTCCAGCTACGTCGAAACACCGGTTGCCATTAGAACACCGAAGTTAAGCGACGTAAGGCGATACTAGTGGATGGACGGGTGACCAGTTCGAAACTCTGTATCGTGCTGTTGTCCAATAAAGGTAAAAGTGTAAAATCTATTGACACACACTGCTCATTCACGCCGGTTCGAGGCCGGATGAGATCGGATATCTCGTGAGTAAGAGTCGATTTAGACACTTGCTCGGTTATTGACCGAGGACCGCTGTTCGGATTCCACGTAAACAAAGTAGGCCCCGTCCAGATTAGCCCTGGCAGCAAAAAGGAGACGTTAACTTCAAATCTTTTACTTTACTTTATAGTATTACATTATAACATTATCATGTCCATAATATTATGAAATATTTCCCATTACCAATTTTTTTAATATTGGTACAGCAAACTTATCAGTATAAAGTTTTGCTTATCTTTATCCTTTTTATTGCTATTTGCAATTCTGAATACGAGGATAAGAAATTTTAGTTTTAAGTACGCCTATGACCGAAAGCGAACGTCTACCTCCCGCTTGTAATCAGCGGCCATATTTGGATGGAATCAGGGATGAGTAAATATAAAGGACCCTAAAATTAATAAATTTTGCTCGTCTGCTCTGTTCAAACACGTAAGAAATATTTATTGATGGATCAGTATGGCAGAGAAGTAATAAATAGGCCGTTTTTATGAATAACAAAATGGTATTTGAACATCATATTATAATCAAATTGAATTGACAATAGATTAATTTATCAGCTATCCGCAGAAAATTGACAATAATAATAGAAACATGACACATGGCAATCAATATAATTCAAAATTAAAAATCGATAAGAGTTCTCATTCATAATAGTAATATAGATATATTTCAAAGAACTTTACTTAAAATTAACTTTTTTAATTTTGTACTAGTTTACACACTTGGTGGTATAACTTAACAAAATAATATCAATCATTAAATAAAACATAAACTTACAAAACGTACATCGTACGGCTTTGGATGCCGATTGTCGTGTGTATGAAGAATACAGTCAACGTGTGTTCAGTACAATACGATATACTGAAAGAGAAAAGACTATAAAATACGGGAGAAAAATGAGAAGTTTATTACCTATCCACTTAATCCGGATCGGTCGACAATAGAATTTGTGATATTTACAACATTATGTAATTAATTGATTATCGGTCCTATTATGTAACTGAGGATGTACGTAACTACGTAATAGAGCATATTTTTTGGTTAGTTTATTTAATGAAGCCTACACACGGCTTTGGTTGCTGATTTTCGTGTGTCAACGTGTTCAGTACAATACGATATACTGAGAGAGATGCTGATGCTCTATTACGTAGACACGTACATCCCTAGTTGCATAAGTAAGACAGATAATCTATTAAATACAACACGTACTAAAAGCGCAAATTCTGTTGTCGAACGCTGTAATCAGTATAAGATTATGTATTAAATAATTATGGAGGTGCATATGAACCATTAAACGATTCATCATTGTGTTAAGTTATACCACGTAATTTAACAAAAAGATCAATCATTTAATATCTCACTTCACACTGTCAACCACGTAATTTAACAAAAAGATCAATCATTTAATATCTCACTTCACACTGTCTCACTCCATTATTATTTAATACTGATTAGAATGGTCGACAATAGAATTTGTACTATTTACTACGTAATACAGCATATTTTTTGGTTAGTTTATTTAATGATATAACCGATAATGTACACACGGCTTTGGGTGCCGATTGTCGTGCACAGAGTCTATAGACTCTGTGATTGTATAAATGAACAAAGAGAAAGGAGCAAGAATTTTCCCAAGCGCATGAAGTTGAGCTCCGGATTAAGTGGATAGGTAATAATTTTCTCTCCCCGACTTACAAGATTGCCATAGCGATACACTTCTAGAC